CTGCACATTCAATTTTTTATATCTTGTGGTAAGTACCCACAATAATCTTTTAGGATGACTCGATAAAAAGAAGCTACAGTATATACATCTCTTTTTTATTTCTTTAATATATTGATCTATTATTTGAAATATGCATATTTGTTGAATAACTGAAAGAGTAGAGGGTTCATGAAAATGAAAACGTCTATTGACTGGCTGGAAGAAAAGAGAAGAAAAATGAGCATTATCAGAATGTTCCGTATATGTGTTAGTATGCAATTGCGAGAAACCAATTAACATGAACAAAAAACGATGTTGGCACACTGAAAAAAAAATTCTCGGCGTTTTTACCAACGTCAGTTGGTACCTTTACCATCTCACTTTTTTTACCAATTATTGATAATTTTACCAAGACAGACTGGTAAACTTACCTAAAAACCGGTATTTTTACTGTTTTTGTCAAGTAAGAATACCACTTTTATTGGTAATCAATTCCCGGTAACTTTGCCATTTTATCTCGGTAATTCTACCATAGTTGATAAATAATATTGGCGTTTTTACCAAGGTCCAGTAAAATTACCGAGAAAGTTCAAAAATTTTACCGAGTTTCTCGGTAAAATTACCAATTCCATAAATGGTAATTTTACCAAGAAAAAACCGGGATCAAATAGAACCCTGAATTCTTGGTAATTTTACCCTTTTCTTAGTAAATACACCGAGATTTTTTTTTCAGTGCAGAAATTGAAAGAAATATGGCAACCTCCGTGGTGAGGGGCCTGTGAAGCCGCCCTCCCTCACTCCTCACGTAATGTTTGTGAGACAAGTTCTGCAAAATTCTTCTTTATGTGAGATGCTTACGGTCCCATTCGCCGAAAGTAACGTGAAAAATAAACTATCAAGGATCCTATTTTCAATAGTGATGAAAAAGTGTGTCAAAGTCGTATTAAAACTCGTTATTCGGCTGAAATATGATAAAAAATGGAATCTACGACGAAAAATACATAAGATTAGAGTAATTTGCTCTATTCTAAGGGCGGAAAATCTCTGTAATCAAAGAAAATAAGATGCGTGATGCGCGATGACCGACCCCTCCCATTGACTCGATCCACCGTGCGGCGCGGCGCAGCGGTCGACATGTAACACATATTGGCGCCTACGAGACTGCGTGAATACTTCACGCATTGCGTCAAACATAATACGGTCAACAGCGGTAGGCGCAGCGTGAAACCCACAGTGCCCACAAGACTACATGAATACTTCACACATTGCGCCAAACACAGTCTGGTCAGCGCGGCACGGCGGCGGAAGTTAAAATTATTAAAGCACATTTATGTTTGTTCTTTCTTAATTTTGTAGTTCATTTCTTACAAATGAAAGGCCTCGTCCACATAGGGATAGGTTTACGGAACTGAACTTTCGCGCGAAGTTCCGTGAACTTTTGCTAGTAGTGTTGACAGGGCTTACGCAAAAAATGTGTCCAAAACGAGTAAATGCGTCTTATGCACCCCTCCCCCACTGGCACGTTCATTTGATGGTTTTTATCGAATTTCAAAATGAATGAGAAGGGGCGGCAAAATATAGGCGGCCCATGGGTGGCAAGTAGGTGAATCTGGCCCTGGTGCTCCTGGGGGTAAGGAGACACAAGTATATAAATTAAAGCTTTATAGTAAAACTTGTGAGACCCATGTATTTTAAACACGGGTCTAAAGTGGCCACGATTGGGAATTTGAGGGGTGGATATAGCAATGAATCAAATTACCCGGGACCAAAATGTTTTTATTTTTATTCATCACCTTTTTAGAGTTCTTAGAAAAATTACGAAGATTTTTATGAGCCGCCAGGCCTGTTTTGACCTGTTTAATAAAGCTAGGGTTAAGCATGATTTTGGTCGAACCTGTGTACAAACGCCTGACGTACTAATACCTGCGATCAATGAGGACTTCGATAGCATCCACGAAATTGTAAAATAACGCAGCTCTGACAGTACACTCTGCAGAAACGCCCAATAAGGAAGGTGTTTGTAAAAGTTTTGTGATCGAAATATCAGAAATTCTTTAAAAAACGAGTATATTCAGAATTTTTGTAAATAAATCACCAATATTTCAAACTACTTAATTATTCTAAGTATCCTTAACTATTTTCAACCATCAAGTGCCGGAAACCCACCTCAAAAGAAACCCTCCACGAAAACCAGAGGTGGATCCAGCAATTTGGCAATACTAGGTTTCCTCCGTTTAAACCTATGGTAAGTAATCGATTCTTTCCAGAGCACCCGACCCCTCCAAGAATCGATACATTTCCATAGGTTTAAATGGAGGAAAGACATTGTTGCCAACTCGCTGGATCGGAGGAAAACCTTTTGTTTCAATAGAGGGAGAAAAAGACGACGAAGCTACAACGTCACTTAAAGCCGTAGCATGTTCATTTATCGTTCAAGGCTACCTTTAAAACACGAAAGTGTCTTTTCACTACGAGTGATGGGCGCTGAAACGACTATTCGCAGAAAAACCTACCAGCGTGCATCGCAAATGGCTCCGAATGTCATTAATCCGTGTCGCTATCTGGATGTGTCACCAGGATCGGTCAGGGTTAGATATTGCGCTCGTGCCGAAAAAACGGCCACGAGGTATGAGGTGCACACGCAATCGAACAGATTATTTGAAAAAAGAACCCAAGCACCATTATCTTGTGAGCTCAAGAAGCCGTGTCGGCTGGGAGAAACCGGGACTCGCGATTTTTTGGAGTTAGGATCTTTTAGAAAATTACCGGTTCGATCGAATGACATTAAAGCACCTTTTCTGCAGGAAATTAGGATTCAGCAGAGCTTGATCCACCAGCCAATTCGGAGATTATTGAGGCAGCTTTGGTCTACAAATAAGCGAATGCTGGTCGTGCGATTTTCAGTTTCTCACCGAGCCCGAAATATGGCGGCTCTCGAGACGAAAGTACCCGTCTTGCTGATTGGAATTGTTTTACTCGTGGGTTCCTCCTGATTCAAGTGTCATGACCAATTTTGCTTGAGATTGAATTTTTGTGTATATTTTGCTGATACTGTTTTGTGTCGTATCTACCCCGGTTCTGTGAGATGTGCTTCTTGGTTCTTGAAAAAGATCAAGATGTTTTACGTTGCTATTTCATTAATGCATCACTATTTTTCGATGTGGCACGTCTTTTACGTGCGTTGTAAAATAATCAGAGCTGAGTTGGAATATCAGACGGTGTAACAAATCACTCGTAATGAATCATATTATCCCCTCGAATTTTCACGTCGAACTCCATGAATACTTCAAAAATTTCGAATTCACCTTTTAAGTGAGATATTTATCATTATGGGTCCACGAACGCATATACTTGCTGCACATTGAAAAACAAATTCTAATATGATAATAGGGATATCCTTTCCATGACAGCCTCAACTTTGAGAGCGTTTTTTGAGCTTAAGATGATTCGATGGATGCCGTATTTTGTGTCAGAGCGACGTGCGATGTATCGCATCAATATTTTCCATAATTTCAGCTACTTGACAATGTTTTTGAATTTTGAGATCGCATATCTGTTGTCAGGATACTAAAGAATTCACTTACAAATTTTGACAAAGAAATTCAACGTAACGAAGGCGTGTTTTTTTAGAGGGAAAATGTCGCGTTCGAGTGCAGTTTCGATATCAGTATCGAATGCGATATTTTTTCTCTAAGAGAACCCTGCCTTTATTACGTTGAACTTCTTTATTAGGTACATAAATTCTTTAGTCGCATGACAACACCACTGGAAAAAAACACATTGGATCTAGAGTCCAGACTCTTAAAAACATCGACAAGAAAAAGCACTCTTGATTCAATCAGAATCTAGCTTAAATCAAGGACCAAGCCTCTTAATTTAAGCGGATTTCGTTTTGATTCAAGCAAAAATCGATTGAATCAAGAGTATTTTTTCTTTTCAATGTTTTCAAGAGTCTGAACTCTAGATCCAATGTGTTTTTTTTTCCAGTGAGAAGTGCTATCTCAAAATTCGAGAAAAATGACAAGTAGCTGGAATTCTGGAATTAATTAATGCGATACATCGCATGTCGCTTTGACACAAAATAAGGCCTCCATCAAATCACCTCAAGGGTTGATCTCAGAGAAAATCAGAGGGACCACCGTGTTTCTCGCGAACTTTTATACAAGAATCAATAGTCAAATCGCAAATTCCTCACACATGCATCATCTCTATTCGACCCATAATTCGATGGTTCGTGTTTTAGGCGCCGTTTGCCGCGCTCGTGAGCGCCCAGTCCTCCAGGGAGAAAATCCAGATCGGACTGCTCCATCTGAATCCCGACAACGCAGGAACCAATGATGAACAATCTCTTCAAGCCAGAGGTCTGTTCGATAGTTTCGGGAGCCTTTTCAACACGGCCGTATGGAACATCCCGACCGGCTCCGACAGCGCCAAACGCGAGGTAGCCGAGGAAGAAGATAGATGGGAAGAGGAACACGAACACGACGATGATGACGACTATGATCAACACGTCGCGAAAGTAACCAAAGGTACCTATATTTTAAGTGTGCGGAAATGGTCAGCCAAAGATGCATACTGCATTTTTATAGAATGAATAACTGCGCAACCCGACATATTACAAAGATTGACACACAAAATTTGGGATTGAAAGCCGTAAAAATATTAAAAACCGGACGCTTTGGTGCGAAAAACGACCTACCGAAAAAATGATTCTGCTTCTCACCAAAAACTACGACTCCACTATGGAGAGAGACCAACTTTTTCGCTCTGGTATAATTTACATGCTCCAAATTCTCTCATTTTCAAACCCTTTTTTCTTCATCATTCCTTGCTGAAGAAAAATCTGGAAAAATTCTACATACTCAGCTCACCAAGTGAAACGCAGTGCACCTACTTCAAAACATGATCAAAAATTGATAGACTCACCTATAAAAGAATAAGGATAAGAAAAATAACGATTATTTTGTTTAGTTGTTTCGTACTTTTAAACATAATATAATACACTTACTTGGCTCGCTGGTCTTCTCTGCAATAAGGCGTCAGGCATGCTTCTCCTCTGACGTTTATTTTGTAGTTCTTGTGATTCGCATCGTACAAAAGACTATGCCTTTGCACTTCGGCAATTAATATATCCTCCTCAACGCAGTAAAAAAATTCATTCTCGGCCATGGTGACAATGGGCTGTTAAAAAGTAAAGCACGTTTGATCACTTCCAAATCCTGACAGGAACTGATTTGAAATTAACGGTCCAAAATCATCTTCAGTTTTGAGCGTTTGGAGTTAATACCAGGCTACATTTTCTCGTTTAGGGGCATGCAAACTTTAAAACAGCAACCATTCCTTGACAAAGTAGATAATTTACAAATTTATTCATCGCTGAAGTCATTCGTTCGAAAAACTTGCCTGATTGTGTATGTTCATCCCTGTTTTCTTTATGATGGCATGGTCGTCTGGAACACAAAGATGGGATACAATGGGACATAGGTCTGTTGTACGCAAGTGACACAACAAAGGAAATAGACTTTCTACGGGTAAAACCTCGTGAATATTTAAAAGGCATACTATAAAGTCACACTAAACGCACAGGATTCTGTTTCAGTGCACACAGAATTTCGCTTTAGTTCACACAGAATTTATGAAGTTATGAACGATTGTTTTTACTTGGGTCGAAAGCGTCACACATCAATACATGGAATACTGCAACAATCGCAAAACGAAATTTCGAAAATTGCAAGCGTGGCGAAGCCACAAAATTGGTGATACTCTATGGGATGAGTAAAAAGTCGCGTGCGTTTTCCCCGAATTTCGGATTTTTTTGTGGGCGTTCGGAGTTAATTAATACCAGGCTACGTTTTCTTGTTTAAGGGCATGCAAACATAAAAAAGCAACCATTCCTTGACAAAACAGCAAGCTCACCTTAAAATTGTCAGACATTTTCATTAGTTTTTTGGAGAACTCGCGTTTTCTTGCTGAGGAAAGTGTGCAATACTTTTCGTGCATTGTGACCACTAAGCTGGA